TTCAAATAATTTAATTATGAAATATACAACTTTAAATTTACTGCAAGAGTGTATAATCTTCGTCAGCGAAAACCCAACGGTCTTTTCTTATTTTTCCCATTTTATTTCCGAAATAGTTCAGGCAAAATGCACAACAAAAGTTGACCATAGAAAACTGCACACATAGTAAAAGTTAATTGCGTATGTGGCTGTGTGTGCGTGACATCGTCTGTATGTGTGTGTGTGTGTGTCTGAAAACTAAACTTTTTATTTAGGCAAGTTTATGGGTAGAAAACATTAAACACGACCCCTAAGCGACTCCGTCTGACTCCTAATAATTAAACACACATTTTATGCTGCTAATGAAACATTAGATGTTTACATTTAATTTGCTATTTACTTAACACCCCTTTAGCTATCCTTGGTATGTGTGTGTGTGTGTGTGTGTGTGTGTGTGTCTGTGAAATTAAAGAGACGTTGAGTTATATGCAAAATAGTCAAAAATCCATCATTAAAGTACACTTTAATGGCCCAGCTATTAGGGCGTATATGAAATTCCAATTGTTCTTATTTCTTGGCAATCAACTTTGCTGCATGGCCCCGAGCAATATTTTGGTTTTGATTTGTTGATTTTTCGCAAAGATTCATATAACACACATTGTTTTATGTAGGCCAAGCAAAAGCCGCTTATGTATGCAAAAGTCTGCAGATTACATAAAATGCTGCACTTGTTCCCAACCCTCCCGCCGTCCAAAACTTATTTGTAATTTATTGGACAGATAAAAAGAAATAAAGAAATTGCCAAAAATGCATGCAATAAAGTCAAGAAAAGGCAAATTTTACTATGTAAATATGATAAAATCATTGCAAAATTGGAAAATTGAAAAACCTTATATGCTAAAGTTAAAACGTCTCTATTGACACACGCACAATGGGGAGCCGTGACATTTATCATTTACATTGATTGCCCAATAGGTTTTCGGAGCGTGCAAAGAAAAATCCATAAAAAGCGAGTATAAAGATGCTGTTTGTAATTTATGTAGCCATCGCCTTGATATATATGTACGCATTTATATGTATGTACATAGATACATCCTAGCGTATAAACCAGGTAATGGCAGTTGGTAGCAAGTTTCAGTAACATTTATGGCGAATTGTATGCAACGATGCATGAATTTCATTTTGTGTGGGGAGCACAAATGTGGAACAGTAGGGAGCCAAAAAAAAAAAAGTATTAAAAATGGCTCTTCAAAGTGCTGCCTACATGTGGGCAAATGTTTGCGGTTAGAGTGGGTGAGTTTGGCATGCCTGGGTTCGCCAGCCTCTGGGTTTGGGCCGGGTTCGCTGACTGTGGATTACATTTATGTGGTTGCAATTGGCAAATATATACATATACGACTTATACATACAGCAAGTATTCACAAATTGTTACACATTGCCATCTGCTGCGCTCGGAGGCATTCAATTTGTGCCCCCTTGATGGGATTTTGCATAAATATTTAATTTGTTATTTTTGGCATTTTTCTGAATGTTTTATTTTTTTCAATTAATTAATATGCCAATATGACAAGTTGGCAAGTAGAAAAGAGCAAAGCAAAAAAACTTCCCAACTAATTGAAACTGTCAAAATCATGGGCAACTAATTAATGAAATTTACCAATAGCAAAGGCAAACGCAAAAGCATAACATAAAAATCAATAGAAATTAATTATTATCATAATAATAAAAATGCAAAAGAAAACCATTCAAAACAATTATTGCGCATACGCCACATGTGCCCGAAAAGCATTCCCAACAGAAAGTCCCAATGCTTAATTACTTTTAGTTGCATGTTTTGTCATATTTCATAACATAAAACGATTAAAAAGTTCACATATATGTGTACACATGGAGCAGAGAGCATTGTTTTGACTGCATAGTTGACCAAACAAATCCAGGCGTTACGTATAAATCTCTTGCAATGGCATTTTCTATATACATATATGCACATATTTATATGCATTTATCGTACCTGTTCCGAATTTTTAAGCTGCAGCTCATAAATTTCGAGCGCTTTCGAATAATGAAATTATGGTTTTGTTTTTTCTTTATTTCTTTTTTTTTTTTTTTGATGCCCACCTTTTGATAACTCTATGACAAAGGTTCTTGCTAACATGCCCCCCCGCATGGGCGCCAACTTATCAAAAACTTTCACGTTCGTCATTTGCAAATATTATGAGATTTCGTGCGACCCAAACTCTAGAATTTGTTAGAGTGTTGAGCATGCATATGGGTAGCATCATATTTTTTATTGCAAATGCGTGGCTCACACGCCGACACGCTCCAAGCCGCCCTTCCTCCACCAGACCAGCGCTGTGTCGCACGCTCGCCCGTTGCGCCACTTGATCTGTGTGTCATTTTGCACGAGTTACACAAAAAAAAAAGGAATGAAAAAGTAAAAAAGCGAATCCGCTGTGATTTTTGGCCATTACCAGGCAGCCACGCTTATCTCTGGCAACAAAGCATGGAATACATGGAATTCGCATGGAATACACATGGTACATATGAAGCTATATCTATGCACATATCGCACGACAGAGATCTGCGACACACATTCATTTCTCAAACGCATTCCTCATGCTCTCTCGCTGGCTGCCAGCTTCCCTTGCCCAACTCCTGATTCCGGCTCTGACTGTGCGCTCGTCGTCGTTTTCATTTTTGGTCCTGCGAAAGTTTCAACCACATACGCCATATTACGCAAAATGCAAAGCATGGCGGATTGACAAAATAAATAAATATGAAAATTTACGGCAAAACTTTTTTGTATTTTGGCAGTTCGCTTAAAACTGTTTTGAGTGGGGAGTTGTTCTGGGCAACAACGGCTTTGAACTTTTGCCGCTCGTTCGTCTGATGCTGCCGCTGCTGCTGTTTCGCAATTTATTGAAAAATCGATTTTTAAGCATTAAATGCGTCCCGGCAAAAAGTCAGCCTGCTTACAGTCCCACAAATCCTGCGGCTTTTCAGCAAATCAACACGGCTTGAAGCACCCGTTGCCTTTAGCCAGCATCAGCAGCAGCAGCAGAAGCATGAGCACCTCCCTTTACCTCCAACTCAATCTGCAGCAGCAGCTCGCAACTCAGCGCGTGACTCTGTCGAACTTTGCTGCCCTAAAGAACCAATAAAAAAAAATATAAAAAAAAAAACCGAAAAAAAAAGGAAACCAAGAATAAACCCCAAGAAAAATGTAAAAATTTATGCAAAGCGCTGCGAGTTACTTTAAGTAAAGCCAAAGCTGCTGCTAGTTTTTCTCAACGCTCGAGAATGGCCCAAAAATTGAGACTCGTAAGCTGGGGTTGCTACTTGTTAAGGGTTAAAGGTGAAACTTTGAGTTTGTCTTGGGTTACCAAAGTGCCAGAGCGTGATGTATAAGTATTGTAGAACGAGCCAGTGCGAATGAGATAAGTTTCCCGTTGGCTGCTCCAAATGGCTCCGGGTAGCAGGCGATTTGTCGTCTATTCACGAAAAACTGTCAGCGCATTTGGGCATTAGTTCGAAGGGTGTCTTGTGCTCCTTTAAGTAATTCAAAACTGTTGGAAGCACGATTAGTGCTGATAAAAACTTTCAAAACATAATAAAAAAGAAATATTTTTGCAACTAATTCAAAAAATATATAAAAAATATTTTTAAATCTAGGCTGTAAGCTATAACCAGTTCGAGGCCTAAGTCCCAAAATATTGTTATGAATCGAACTCTCTTAAAATATTGTAAAACTTTAACTGCTTCATACAAACTATGAAAGTCTATAGCAATACATATCTTACACGAAATCCCGGGCTTATGGATGTACAAGACCACAGGGCAGGGATTTGCATCGAACAGTAAGCCGACAAATTTTAAATATTATTGGCTATTTATTGAAAAGAATTGTTTATAATAATAGTTGTCACCATTATCATAAATGCCATGTCAATTGGTTGGCCTAATAGTCTGGGCCTGTAATAATCGATTTGTTTGGAATTCTAAATATAGCCAAAATGTTGTAAATATATCATATTAATTAGTTTATAGATTAGTCCCATAATTTGTGCATGTAAAATCAACAGCTATGCAATTAAATTTGTTCGCAAATATTGTTTTTCAATTTAACAAAAACAAAAAGTTAAGCACCAAAAAGGAAAACACAGAAAATAGAATAAAAAACTTTCGGTTTAACCAGCCAACTGAAAATCTGGCTAATTCTCACAAAAGCTGATTTGCCACAATTTAATATAATTGAAAGGCAGCTGTAAAAATAATTTGCAAGGCCATTAATGGACATAAAACTCAATTCGAATTCCAATTGAATTGATAGCCAATATCTAATTAAATGTACTCAACCGCAAACGCACACATACGCACACATAAACATGCAAACAGGCTGATAATAATTATCGAGAGCACATTACAATTTGTTATTTGTATTTATTTGAATCAATTACAAATTGAAGCTAGGCGCATCTGAAAAATATAAAAAATATTTAAGAAAAAAATAAATTCTTTCAGCCAACTATAGTTTTGCACGAGCAGCGCGAGCTTTGTTGACGAGTTTGTGTTAACTTGGCGCGCATGCATAATTTACAGCCACGCCAAGCCGTGCCACGGTGTGCCACGCCCACTGCTAACCCAGTTGCCCACCTCCTGCCGGCTGCCGCCCGCGCGAAGCTAAACGCAAAGTTTACATTGAAAGCCGCTTAGGTTGTGCAGTCGAGGTGGTTGCTTTGTTAAAACTTTAAGTCAGCTAAGCGGCTTACCCTGTACACACACACACACACACACATGCACACGCACACACTCAAATTGACGCACATCTACGCACAGGTGCATACACTGTATAGCTCATACGCCGCGTGGTTCAAAGCCAATTGAATCCACAGTCCGCATGTAAATGATGCGCTTTGCTTAAAATGTATGCTTTATTATTTTGAATAATTTTTCACTTAAGCTCTAATTACAGCTACAGTTTTTTTTTGTTTTGTTTTATTATTATTATAATGCAATCCCATGTTGTATACATTTATCAAAAATACAAATAATTATGCTGTACAGTTTTAGAACGCCGCTGCTCATCCTCACCGTCATCGTCATCCTCATCTGTCCTTCCCCTGCACGTTGATTGCCAGCGTCGTTTAGTTAATGCGTTTCGAATGCGTTTTAATGCTATATACAAGTTAATTCGGGGCTCAATCGCATTTACATGCTGTACTGATAGCGCACGTTGGAGGCCAGCTATACGATGTGTATAATGAGAGAAGAAATAAATCCTTTGTTCGTTTCGTTCACTTTTGCAATCACCCACCTCAACGCCGACCAAACGCTCATCGTAGTCACTGCCCGCTTGCATGGCCAGCTTAGCCTGGGATTGCATGATGGCATCCGAGAGTGAATCCCGCTGATATGTAGAGGAGCCCAGCATGCCGCTAGTGGCGCCGTTGGTTGGCACCTTCAGCCGCGCCGTCTTGCTGCGGCAAAAGAACTCGAGTATGGCCACCAAAACCGAGAGCAGCAAACCGCCAATTAATATATAATATATGCCGGCCACATTGCTTAGGGAGAGCTCGTTGGGTGTGGAGGTCTCCTGGCTGTCCGAATTGGGATTACACTCGGTTTTGTCGAACCACCATTTGTTGCGCAGCTTCAGCAGTTCGCCGCTCTCTTTGAGCGACAGCACCGCCAAATTGAGACGGTTTCTAAAGGGGCCAAGGGTAACGTATATAGACGCTACCCCACTAACTAACCTATTTAATCAATCACTTACCGCAATGGTGAGCCAATGGGCGTGGCTATGCCAAAACCCTTGGTGTCTATGTTGCGACCCACTTTCATGGTGTCACACGGCGCCCTCGCGTTGACATACTCATTCTTGGGCGACTCCACAAGGAGCGCGTACTTGCCCTTGGAGGTGCGCACACGTCTGATGCCCTCGTCGTAGGTGTGCACGGACAGATGAGGATTGGCGTTCATGTACTCCCACATTTTGGTATGCAAACCAATCTTCGAGCGCTATATGGAAAGCAGTTATACAATGGAGCCTGCATGAGATATGTGGACAACTTACACGAAAAAAATCCCAGGTGGACCCTTGCAGCAGTGTGCCATATTGTACATCGGTTTGCATGGCCAGATCCTCGGGCGACTTGATGGGCGCCACCATGCGCTCCACGGTAAGAAATGCAGCCAAATTAGCTGTATAGGATGAGATCAATATGATGGTGAAAAACCACCACACGGCGGCTGCAATGCGCCCAGCTATCGAGGGTGGTGTCAAATCGCAGCCCTGCTGCATAAAGGCGGCTAGCGAATACCAAAAGGAGTTGAGCAAACTAAACTCATTCATTGGCACCGCTGCTGGCTTATGCTGCTCCGGTGGCTCGCCGCCAATGATGCCCGGTGGCTGCTGGGCATTGGTATCGTTCGCCGAGCGACGCACGATGCGCCACTCATGGGGCGGCAAACGGGTGACAAAATAGAGTACAATGCTCACGCCCACATAGCTCAGGATGACGCTCATCTGCAGAGAATAGAGAAAGAAAACGAGAGAGAGGGAGCGAAAATCTTGAGCACTGGCAAAGTGTTTGAAAGACTTGTTCGACCTACCCAAATCTCCTGCGAGAGCGGATTTAGAAAGCTGAAGACACCTGGAGTTTGCTTCACCGGCTTTTTAATCATTATCGAGATGCCCAGGGACATGAAGGGCTTGGTAAAGTCTATGACGCGCTCCCGCTCCGCGGTTATCGTCATGGCAGCAATCGCAATGTCCGCCTCCTTTAATCGCAATGACAATGATGCAGTTACAAAGTGTTGACAAGTGTTGCCAGCTGTGTCTGTATCTCACCTTGCGCACCAGCTCACCCACCATGCCATCCCAGCCGCCTGGCGCAAACTGATTCTCGGCTCCATAGCTGCCATCTTGCACCAGACGCAGCTCAACTGGCCGTGCAAGAAATGAAAGGAGAACCATTCATGGACTTGCACAGATTCACAAGTGGAAGTCTGAACTCACATTTAATGCCCAGCCTGGTGGCAATCAGGTCAGCCATATCCTTGCAATATCCCTCAAAGCGTTCGTTGCCAACCAGCTGCTGGCCGTAACCAGCCCTGTGCATTAGATATGGTTCCTCCAGCACACTGGTCACAATGTAGGTGTGATTGCGTGTATAATCCCCATTGCTGGCGGCCGATGTACGCAAGCTTGGGCCATGATTGCGTTGGCCATGGAACGGCATAAAGCCAGCATCATCTCGCCATTCGGCCACCTGTTGCAGTGTGCTATTCACAGACATTTCCACCACCTGCAAGGTGTAGTTGACGCGTCGGCCATCGTCATCAAAGCGCACAGCGCCAGTTAAGCCATCAATTTCCACCTGCAAAGCAAATGTAAACAATGAGATTAGCTGAGGGAATTGGGAATCGCTTTAAAAATACCCACAAAAAAAATAATAGAAAGCAATACTTTGGAGCAACTGAAACATAACTGTTGCATAGAAAGTATTCCGCGCCTGTTGAAGCACAACTTCTTCGTTCATTTTTATAGACAAATATTTGCAATCAGAAACTTTTATAATTTCAGTCTATCAGACACCTACTCTCAAAGCAAAAGTTTCATAAATATACTTATGCAATTATCAGAGTTTGCTGTTCTTTATTTTGTATACCCTGTATGTATTCAGCTGAGCTAACGGGTGGTATGAAGCCGAATAGCGCTTGATAAATTCTATAAAATGTATTCTGTTATGGATCGTTTACTTGGCAAATATAGTTGTTCCTTGGTATTTTTATATTTTTGAACCTGAAATGTGAAATGCCTTATTCTTTAAACAAAAGAATGTAACTTAAGTTTATTTGACCTGATTACAGAGTATTTTCTAGTCCCGCAAATGTGTTCACCTAAATCCAAAGAAATAATTTCAAACAATTTCGCCTCGAAATTTAAGATTTAAAAATAACTTCCACCGAATACTTCAACTTTTGCGTGGAAAAATTCTCATCAAAAAATTGTTGCGCCCGCATGGAAAATGTTTAATCTTACCTTGCGCAGGACTCGTGAGATTTTCTCCCCCTGCTCCCAGGGCGTGACCCAGCCCTTGGAGGTGCTGCAGTCCAGCAATGCGCTGGATTCGTTCAATGAGTTGGTGTTGCCGGAGCCGCCCGCATGACTTCGTCGTTGCAGATGATTGGCACGAAACTGATCCGGTTTCTTGCGCAGAATGCGATTGAAGGCCTCGACAAGCACAAATACCGCATCGTACATGAGCGCCGCCTGTGCCTGCAGTGCAAATGGGTGTTGTGGTTACGTGGGCGTGGCAAGTAGACAGGGAAGATGCGCTTAATCTACTGGCATTAACAACTTTGGACTGTGTGAAAATTTACCGAAATGGCTGGCAAGCTGCCGCCCGCTGCGCCGGGGCCACTCGCCTGTTCCAAGCGCTTCCGGCTGTCATGAAAATCACGCAAGGCGCGCCGATTAGTGTCCACAATACGAAAGCCAGTGATGTTGATAGCTCCCAACTCCACGACATCGCTGGGCCAGTGGTTGTCCATGACCTACGCACAAAAAAAAAAAAAAATAAAATAAAAAAAACAGCGCGAGAGCGAAAAAAGAAGTAGAATCAGAAAGGATAACAAAACGCCAACGGATGCTGGTAATAATTGCTTATTAAAGACGCACACAGCGGGTGGTAGGGGGAAATAAAAGCTGGTAAGTTGCCACGGAATTTGTTGTTTGGCATTTTGCACTCACCAGGCCGCTGAGCAGGTAATGATAGGTGCGCCTGCCGAGCTTCACATCCCGCACATGCTGTATGATGATCTCTTTGGCCATTTCCGCCGGGCAGTCGAGCACGATGCGCTTTTTGCTGAAACGTCCCAAATCCTCCATCGTGTGCAAAAATTCAATGGCCATCGTTACGTTGGCGATGCGTTTGACCATTTGCACACGAAATGTTTCATTTCCGGGCTTCAGTTCTTGATAGATTTGCTGCAGGCGCAGTAAGCCTACGGCAGCCAAGTGGGTGGGGCCCAAAAAAAAGATACACAATACAAACAAACAAACAGCAGCGCCCGGTGGCGTATGAGTAATATTGAGTGCCATATAAGCCATATACATATATATATGTAGTAAGGTTTGTCGGATGCGCGCGCGTGTGTGATGGTGTGTGTGGCCGAGATGGATGGCAATCAAAAGTAAAACGCCAGATAAAAGCGATTTCAGAGATGAATTCAACTGAAGACCTCGCCCCACAACAAAGAGGTCCATCAAAAATGTTATTAAAGAAAGAAATATTCGAAATGCATGCTTTAAGGATTTTGTTCGACTTATGATATATAAAAAATTTTTTAAAGCAAATTGTCTGTATACAAACTTAACTGTAGCCAAAAATATGTACGAGCATTTTCACATTGTATGCCCAGTAAGGTTATAAAAATATACTTAATCCACATCTTATTTAATTATTGAAATATATTTTAAATATATCGCTCTAGCATTCCTCCCTCTCCCTATCCCACAAGAATAGCACTGCAAATAACCATAAAAGTTTGATTTAACTGTTGCATATGAATCTCATTTTATAGCGTTTGAATATGATTTCATGATTTTGGCCATGTTTCAAGGAAAAAAAGCCAAACACTATAAAATGTTTATTTATCTCTTACGGCTATTTGCTATTGGCCCATATTGCTTGGCATATTTTTTTTTTTTTTTTAGGGAATGTGGGAAGAGTGCAGCTCTGTCTGCTTATGAATACTTTATATAAACACTCAGTCACACTCAATCACTACCCCAATCTCTCATTGCCAGGCCGCAAAAAACATTTTCACACGCCATTTGTTGCACGGCGTTGTTGTCACAGATGTCTTTCTTGTTGTTGTTGTTGTTATTGGCTTTGATTTCGGGCTGCATGATTTGTTGGCATTGGCCACAAAACAAAAATAACAACAACAGCAACGGGAACAACACTCACTCAAACCAAAGAGGAAACGGAAGTGCACAGACAATTGAAGTACTTTTTTGTGGCACGTTGGTAACATTTCAATAAATAGCGCAACTTCCCTCTCCACTTGGATCCAGTCGAAAAAAAAGAGAAGAAAATAATAATAAAATTGGGTGCGTGCTGTTTGTTCAGCCATTTGGTTGCCGCTGCCGCTATTCTTGCTGTTGTTGCTGTTGTTGTTTGTGTGTGCGATGATGTTTTATTGAATGCTTCCTATGTAGTCGCGTATTGCTTTTTCTGCAACTTTTGTATTCATGAATGCGCCAAAAAATATGCTACCAATTTGTCGCCGTGTGCGATGTTCGTTTACCGAACAGCAAAAAAGCTGAAAAAAAGGCTGGCGATAACAGCGACAGTCCCCGGGTCTAGAGAGAAGAACAAAGCAATAACAACAAACTGCTGACAGCGGCATTAAAATATAAAGTCTCGCTGTGGTGCCTTTCGTTAACAATGTAAACGATGCCTGGCAACGTGTATTGAGCTGAAGTCGGCCAAAATGCCAAAACCCAACAATAACAACAATGGCAGCAGCAGCAGCAGCAGCAGCGGCAGCAGCAGCAGCGGCAGCAGCAGCAGGCAGTAAGAGTGGCAGCGCCCAAGCTGCTGCGGCATTTCCTTTTCCTGCGCCGTATGCCAGCGGCAACAATGTCGGCCTACTTTTTGGCAAATGGCGCAAATATTAAAAAACGGCCAAAAAAATATTCAAGCAGCAGCAGCAGTGGCAGCAAAAAGGGCCAAGCGCTGCCAGCAGTTGCATAAAGTCATAAATTTTATTTCACACAGAGTCATTAACACATGACACACACACATACACTCGCACACTAGCACAGACACACAATGGCAGCAGCTCCATAACGACAGCCTGTGAACTCATTACAAAAGGCGCAAAAAAAAAGCGTCGGCATAAAAATGTTCAAATAACACACGCAGAAATCACTGCGGCGTATACGTAATATCATATGAAATTTTTACACAACTCGAAGTCATTCGGCTGCCTGCCATTGTGTGTTAAAGAATACATGTGTGTATTTCGTGTGTGCGAGTGTGCGTGTGTGTGTTTGTGTGTGTGTGTGATGTCTCTGGTGCTTGCCTTGATGTCTTCATCTTTGGCCGTAATTGCTGTCGTCGTCGTCGGCGTCGCACGTAGACTGCAGGAAATTGCTTTGAAATAAATTTCAATACAACAACAATACCGAAAGAAGCCTAAGACAACAGAAACAAAAAAAAAAAAACATTATGTGGCATTGTAGCCAAGTCTCAGCCATATGTGCACAGTCCGTCCACCAGCCTCTGTCTGCTTGTCCCTGCTCAAGCAGCCGGAGCACTTCTAAGCGCTCAAGAGCACTCAAGCCTCAGCCTCAGCCTCAGCCTCAGCCTGTCTGTCTGTCTTTCTAGCTGGCTGGCTGGCTGGCTGGGGGGCTGGCTGGGGGGCTGGCGGCGCGTACTCTTACTTTTACTTGTAGCACTGCCTCTTTGTGCCGCTCATTTAATTACATATTAGCAAAAGAAAAAACCTAAATGTCTATATATGTAGAAGCAGCAGCTGAAAAACGGTAGCAAAAAGGGCAGGCAACGACCGAAGGGGCAGCTGAGGAGGCCCTGTTAAGTGGCACAAGCAGAAGATATTATAGACATGTATTTGATGTTTGATTTCTATTTACTTGCGTGCGGGTTAATGCACAGCAAAAGAAAAGGAAAGTGTCAGAGAACGAGTTAGAGTGGCATAGAAATAACAGCCAAGTTTATGCAATTTGCTTTTACTGGGAATTATTTTAATAAGCGCTTTCAAATTCTAGTATATGCAATTTATTTTGCTGTCTGTAAAACTTAATCCAAAATTCGTTGAATACTAAACATTGAGTAAATTGTATTAAAAGATCTTTTTTTTTGGACAGCATATTTTAGCTGAAGATGTGTCTATAATATCCTCGAAGCGAGTGTTGTTTTATATAAACACAGCTAATACAAAGGTCTAATATCTTGCATTGCCATAACTTTAAATAATTTGCCATAGTAATAGTCTTTCTCTCAAGCGTATTAATTACACAAGTATTTTTGAATTTCTATTTTCAGCTAAAGTTTCAAGTGTCCATGGTCATTAATGTTGCCTGAATCAATTTATTTGTGAGCTGTCAACTTTCGATAAAGTTGTGCTTCAAAAACTTAGCTAAATATACAAATTAATCTCAATTAATTGACATTGTTTTGCTGCAGCCCTCGTGCCATTGGCTTCGTTATGCCTTACACAGACACAAATACAACTTAAATGTCAAACACTCAGTGAAACAACAAAAAAGGCAATAACAAAAGCAAAAACAAGGACGAACAGGAGCCAACCGCCCGTCCATTGGCGCCCCATTTGCTTGACGCTAACGAAAGCGAAAATGAAATGAAATCAAAATACACGCAGTAAACAATGGGATAATGTGGCGCACATTTAGCCTGACGGGCCGCCCTCCCACGTCCTCTGATTATCTCATACTCACCATCATGCGAATCGTATAGATAAATAATGCTTTGCCAACCGTAGTATTGTATGGTATCAATAATTGCCTGATGATAATCCGGACGCATGCTGATTGCAAAATCCAACAGGCCTGATGACGGGGTAAGCACCTAAAAGTATGCAAAACAAAGCGATCCATGAGTGGAACAACAGCTCTCAGTTGGGGCAGGCTTAAAGGGGGCTGCCACCCCCCAGAGCCTAACAATGTAATGTGTACGCTACATGAAGCAATAATAAAATGAAACGCGTTTCCGCTTTGACGCTGCCAGCGACTGGCAGTGGGTTGTGTACGAGGAAAGGCGAGAGGGCGTTGTTGACGGTGAGTGTGAGTGTAAGGGCGAAGGACATGTAAGTCCTGCCTTTTGCCTGGCAGCCAAGTAAGTTAGTACGAGTATATACACGATATGTATATGGTACAACAAGAGATATGTACACAGAGACCCGTTTCCGTTTAGCTGTATATACACACACGCACGCACACACATACAGCTGCCTGAAGGCGCACGCAAATGCGCAGTCTGATGTGTGTGTGTGTGTGTGTGTGTGCGTGTGTGGCACAGAGAGAGCCGCCGCTGCTGTTGTTGTTGCTGGTGCTGCTTGCCGACGCCATATCTTGATTTATAGTGATTGAAATAAAAGAGGCCAAGAGCGCATCATAAATTTTTTTGCGCTCACTGTAGAGCTGTGTGGAGCGCGCATCGGGGGCGCTCGTTTGGCATTGTCTTCCGGCTGCGGCACTTTGGGCTCTTTGGCTTTTTGTTTTGTGAAGTGCCAGGCACAGTGACAACAACAGTGCTCCAGCAACAACGACAACAGTGGCAGCAAGCAACAACAAGCCGCCTGTGTTGTTGGTAGTAAATTTTCTTCAAATTACAATTATTATGATTTGTGCTTTGCTTTTGATTTAGTGCAGCGTCTGGCAGTCACAACAACAGCTCTCTGTGCGTCTGTGTGTATGTTTGTGCTTATAGCCACTTTGTGCGATGGCTTCATTTTTATAAACTCTAGCTCCGTGTATGCGTGCGTGTGCGTGTGTGTGTGTGTGTGTGTGTGTATGTGTCGCCACTTGAACTACAGCTTGATGTTTAAATTAGAAATGTGGCAAGAGCTCTACCCGGCCACCCCTGTCGCCCACCAGCCATTCAATGCACACCATAAACTGCAGCTTAAGCTGTTTAGTGAGCTGAATGAAAAGTTATGGCCAGCAGCTAAGAAAAATGTTTAAGCTGTAAGCAGAAAATGCACTTCAAGTTTTATGGCTCAATCGGAGCCTTTTCAATTGGTCGATTGAAGTGTTTCATGTTTTTGGGTGTGTCAGCCATAATTGCTATGCTACCATAAACCAGCAGCCTATTGACCCAAATTAAATGGTTTGAAATTTCACAGTCTGTTGCCAGAAACACGCACACGCACACACACACACACGCACACACCACATACTGCACACAAAAATGTGTTGACGGAAAAGTTGTTTAATCTGTTGTCGGCTGAAATGGAACTCGTTTTATTTGCATTTGGCATTTAGCTGGCATTGTAGAGAGTTTGTCCGAATAATTGTTTTGGGGGCTGCCACTTTGATTGCTATCAGTCGGTTTTTGTTGATTTTTTTTACGTTTTTTTTCTCCCCTTTTTTTCATTTATTTGAAATATGCAAATGTCAATTTGCTTGCGGCTAAATTTGTTTCAATTTTCTATTTAACATTTAACAGTTTGAGCTAGGTCAGTTCACCCGACGCTCAGCTGAGCTACTTCCCAAGCTGAACTACACAATGAATTTAATTTAATATTCTGTTGACAGTTGCGGAAATATTTCTTAATTGACTTTTATGTTACACACACACGCACACACTCATATATATAAATATACATATTGCATAACAATTGCTTTGGAAAATCTGTTTGAAAATATTTGAAATATTTCTCTAGAGATTTGCAAAGCTTTTGAAGAGTTTTAATTATAATTTCATTGAGCTGTTTCTCATTTTTGCCTTGATGAGCTAATTTTTTCGGCCATGAGGCTGTCAGAGTTATTGTTGTGGGACTGCCACTGTATTTTCTCTACATTCCTTTTTGCTAAAAGCAAGTTCGGAAGCAGTCCCTAGCTGAATTAAATAATAATTTTGTTAGACAAAGTTTTCTTAAGCATTCCAAAACACGAGATTAGTTGAAATATTTGTTAATAGACTTTCAGAACATTCTCTACCAATACTGTTTATTTTTTTATTTCTCTACGGGCTGATGAAGAGCTTTAATTATAATTTATCCTACACACCACAGAATTCCATACACACGCATTCCACATATTCTCTTTGTTTCATTACGAACTCTGCCCTTTTTTCCGAGCCCTCCGGCAACTTCATTACTCATCAACACACACACACACACATATATATATATATATATATATATATATTTAAACATGTGTGTCTGTGTGCTACTTAGTTTATTGACTCTCCTCTGTTCAGGCTCATATCATGACGCGCTTTCTTTTTTTTGTCTCTCTCTTTCTGACTGACTGGCAACAAACCACATCAAATGTAAATAACTGCACACAAAATCAATTACGTATGACATTCTTTTTTTATTGGGGGTGTGGCTGGGAACGTTTGTAACTTACCTTTTCCGGAAACCAGGGCGTCACGAATGGCATTTGGAACGTATTCGAATAGGAGTGCAATGTGTCAAAGGAGTCCGGCGATACGGCGCCCAGCATTGAGTAGACTCCGCGCGAGAATTGATTGCAAACTGCAGGTTAAAGCAATAAATTTTAGTTTCTTTTTTTCCTTTGTATTTTGGCAACGTGAGAAAATAAGAAAACGAGGGAGGGAAAAACGCGTCGGGGTAACAATGGAGTCGGGCTGGGATTGGGATAGGTCACAAAGAGTATGTTCTGTCTCTGGGTGTGTATGGGTGTGTGTGTGTTTGTGTGTGTGTGTGTGTGTGTGTGTGTGTGCGGGAGCAGTGTCTAGGTCGTGATGTAAATGAATGTGCGCAATTAAGCGGCTGCTGAGGCAGCGGGTGGTTGGGGAGCTGGTTGCAATTTTCAATAAAAATGCGCATAATTAATGCAGACAAGTGCTGTGAAGCGGGGATTGGGCGGGGCACATGGGCAACAGTTGAGTGGTTTCACTTTATTGTATTTGTTTTTCTTTGTTTTGTGCGCGTGTTTGGCTCTGTGGCAGGATGTGGGCGGGACAAGGGCTAGGGAGCCTGCTGGCAGGGGCGTGGCAACACCTACTCAAGCGCGATAATTTGAATGCATCCGCCGTATTGATGACATCAACGTACGCCTGCAGCTCAAAGCGACGCGCACTGACATTCAGATTGTGATTGAGCATTGCATATTTAAAGGCTGATTGAACATCGTCCGTGCCCTGCTCGAAGATGGCGCCTGTGGGCACAGAAAAAGATAGAGAGAAAGAGATAGAGAGGGAGAGATGAAAAGAGTGACATAGTTAGAGTATATAAAATATTTTTGCTTCGTTAAATATTTAGGCGGCTTTTGACACAGTCCTCTAAATATTAAACGAAAGCGCACTGAATAAATATTTACACAAATGATAGTATAACACAAACACACACACAATAGCAGGCAGGCACTCTAATGCCAAACGAAGTGTTGATGCTGCAATTTTGCACGCTGCGCTTTTGCCTGCCTGGCAGAAGGCACATGGCAGGAGGGCAGGCGGCAAGTGCCAGCCACCCGCTCCCACATAGAACCCTTTGCCACAGAAATTGCAACCGGAGCTGCTGCTGCTGGTGCTGTTGCTAGAGTCCTGTAACAGGAGCAGGTGAACAGCTTCGCGTGCCAAAGCCAAAGCCAGTCAGCATGACTGTCACATTAGCACAGCGAGCAGCACAGCGAAACACACTCACACATGCTCGCACATACACACATGCTCACTACTACAGCACACATGCACAGCCAAAATGACTGCAGGCGCTGTGACTGAGGTGCCACAGCGTAATAAAAAATAAAACAGCAGAGCACAAAAAAAAAAAATTATTTGAAAAAATGCAGCAAATAACGTTAAATTGTATTGCTGCTTGTGTTCCTGCCAGCTATATCGCCGCAATTCCAATTATTTTTATATGCCATATGTAAAATATGGAAATTGCAAAATTGATTGGAATTCATCTATAAAATAGATGAATAGTTAAAAGCTACCCAAAAATGGTAGTCAAATTAAATAAAGAACATATTGATCAATCAAATGCGTAGTAGGCAAGCCTGTAAATCAGCTTTGAACCGAATTAATTCCAGCCCGGAATGCCATTTTTTTTAGTATAAACTGAATTTTCAACCTTACTCAAAAAACAGACGAGCCCATAATTGAGTTCGTTCAAAATAAAAATAAAAAAATTGTGGTAGACCAAGCACTAAAATATAAATAACTTAAACCCCATTTTTGGTCGATGCCAATGCATAACTATCCAAGGTTCGAACCAACATATGGGTTCAAAGAGTTTGAACCCCAGCTTCAAGTTTGCTATATATTTTGCTTTAGTAGCTGTGACAGGGATGTACAGATATATATCTCCAAAAATATAACTGAAAAATAAAACTTTTCAACATCTGAACATTTTGTTATAATCAGCCAACCCAAATAATATCCTTATCACATTATGATCCTGTATTGAAAAACAGAGAAATCTAATTGGAACCCGAAATGGTTTGTAGCAACACAATCCAAATATGCAAGCATGCATGCATGCATGCATGCAGCATGCAGTATGCAGTATGCAACATGCAGCATGCCTGGCTGAAGTCACAGAAATACAATCACACCCATAACCATTGCCATTACACATTGTAGCAAAATTCTAGCGACAACTGCAGCGAGTCCTTTTGGTCCTGCCGCTGCCAGTGCCTGCTTCATGCTGCTGCTGGATATGCTTGGGGCGTTGCTTTTGATACTCACCTAATGGTATTTTCTCGGTTAACGATGCAGACTGTTGTTGTTGCTGCTGCTGCTGAGCTGCGCTAAATTCCAGCCAGCAAATGCTGCCAGCGCACATTAAATGTAAATATGCCAAGAATTTTAGCCTCGAATGCATTTTGTATTGCTATTTGCTTTTGCTACAAATTCGGTGAGAATTTTCCACTTGTAACTTGTTCCTGTTGTTGCTTCTTTCCTTTTTTATTGAATGCGTGTTTTCTTCTTTCTTTTCTAACTTTTGGGTATTTGCTACCTTAATTTGTTGCAACAACCCGAACTTGTTGTTGTTCTTTGTTGAGCGCGTGGCAGCGTGCAAGAATTCGTTGCCTACTTAAGAGCGCGTTGTGTAGGAAGAGTTGATTGTATATTTTTTAAGCGTGACTTTTACTGCGCTAATTAACTTAATTAATAATTAGCAGATACGTTGATCTTTTATATAATTTTAACTATAATTTAATTTTTAAGTGATGTGTAATTTTATGTATTTTTTAACTTTTAACTAACTGCTTAGATTAATATGTTTTAGTTAATTTAATTTAAGGTAATTTATTTAAATCTAGCTATGTTGCTCTTCGAGATCTTTGAGTAAGTTTCTTGTGGCGCACTTTAAAACTTGAGCACGCTTGACTTTAACTGGAAGCACGCGCTGCCCTCAACCCTCGAGCGAGTCATTCGTTGCCCTCACGCACACTCACCCACACCACGGGCCGCACACTCGCGCACACACACACTAGCACACTGGCACACGCACACGCACAGGAACAGGAGCTGCTTCGGCTGAAGTCTGCTCTGCAGTCACTTCTTTTATCCGCGCACATGAACCAAACGGCAACGCGTTGTAATCAGCACTAAAAACGCCTAAGCTGCCCAGTAACATGAGACCCAGCATCAATGCACGACCACAAAGCAACTTTGTTGCTTTGTCGCCCTATTACAACGCTCTCTCACACTCTCTCCCAATCGTTCACGAATGCTGGATGCTGGCTGCTGAGGGCTGGTTGCTGCGCTCTTTGTACTAAAAATGAGCACACTCGCACTCGCTCGCTCTCGTTGGCGCTCTCTTGTCTGCAAAGTGCTTCGGCAGCGCCAATTACTGACCTACTACGTTTAGGACTACATAAGTTCCGAATTGTTGTTGTTGTTGTTGTTGTTGCTGCTGCCACTGCTGTTGATGTTTGTTTACGTTCTGCCTTGCATTTTTGGCTGCATAATTGATACGGCCAACAGCAACAAGAAAGGCAACAACTGCAGGCGGCGCTGCAGCTCGATTGCGTACAAATCGTTTTCCCCAACGCAGCCCAATTTTGTTTTTTGTTTTTTTGGTCATTACTAGCGATGCCGTGACAATCCTTTTAACAAATCTCATTAGGCTGTCAATTACGTGCGATTGCCGTTAGTTTGCAGTGTAATGAAATCTCATTAATCGACTTGAATTTCTCAAACAAACTGTAAGTGCGAGGCAAGTGCGCCACGCCTTGCATATTGTCGAGGTCGTGGCGTGGCGTAGCGTGGCATGGCGTACGATTTCATCATAATCTGTAATTAGTTTATAATGCGCACAGGAAGCGCTGGCAGAAAGCAGGAAGAGCCCAAAGTGCCAGCCAGCTAGCCAGGACAATGCCGTGCGACCAACATTTCAGCTTAACCTACAGCAAACGGCTCTTAACTACAACAAAAACAATAAGAATAAGAACAAATAAAGAAATAATGAGCATCAGAGGGCGCTGCCTGGTTTGGCCTTGCTGCCTTGGCAACAACAAATGGCCAAACTCAAGCCAATAAACATAAAAGTTGATGGCAAAATTTTTTAATTAAGAAAATCAATGAATATATTTTTTTTGCTCTTCATTATTTCATTTAAACATTATGGCCATTGCTTCTCCCTTTTTCAGCTTCCTTCATTTGCCTTCTTTATGGCCAGCGATTTCAATGCTCGTTAATAGGTTTTTACAACTTTAATATGCATTTGGAACACATAAGTGATATAGAAAGCGAGCGATAAAGAGCGAGAGAGCGAGCGAGAGACAGAGAGAGAGAAAGAGAGCTTAAAACTTAATGTAACTCTTGGTTACTTTGATAATTATTATTCCCTATAATCTTTCTATATTGTCAAAGTATATTCAAAAATATGTGTGGTTTTTTGTAGTGTAACTTAATTTGAGGCCATTATATAGAGCTTAACATTTTTGTTCAGCGCAAAGTATGGTATTATTATTAAAAGTTATATATTAATGTTTATAAAGGTTTCAATTAAAAAATTTTGAAGGAGACTAATAAATCGCAGATTTGTAGATTATTTAAAAAAACGGAGTAATGAGAAATGGCTTAGATTCTAAAAGAAAATATATTTGGTATCTATCTCAACAACTGTAGAGTATAGAGAAGTCGCATTGATATGCCCCAAGCACAGTCACATTCCATGAGCTAGTAGGTAAGTTTAGGTTAGGTCGCCTGAACTAGTTAGTTTTGGGACTGGAAAAACACAGAAGCAAATTTATTATATTTATTATATATTTTATATTATTGATGAACAGAGACTGATGTTCAAATGGCCTGTTGGCCGGGATTTCTGCTTTGTGAGCTTGGTAAGCAAAACCTGTTCGAAGTGTATTGATTTATTTATTTTTTTGAATAATGTAATGAAATATTTTAATTATTTTGTACCGACATATGCCATTGTTAGCTGCAAAATATACAAAATTCCGGCATTAAATATCTATGCATAAAATCACAGCCGCTCTTTAACTTGTTGGCGTTAACAAAGAACAAATAAACAAGCAAACTAACTATCAACAACAAGGCAAATAAATAAATAAATGAGCAAACAAATACACTTTCATATCATAATTAAATTTGTCTCCCATTTCTTACTTGCCCAGCCAGCTGGGACCATGCAATTTGCAGCAAAAAAACAAAAAAAAAGCAAAAAAAAAAACAAAAATCAAAAGAATTTTTTTCTGTGCAATTATTTAATGCAAACTCCAATAAAATTTTAATTGCTCTTTTTCATAAATATGTAAATTGAAAAGTGCGTCTTTTTTGAGCAGTCCCCGCGGGTAAGGAGGGCGGGGGGTTTAGGGTGCTGGGGAGGGCTGCGCTAATTATTTACAATTAAAATTTATGCGGCTGCCTAAATCAACAAACTAAATCGTTTAATTAAAAAGCCGCGAGCACACAAATGAAACAACCAAATCAACAATAGTTACAGCAAAAACAACAACAAGAGGCAGGAACAACAAACTAATATTGCTTGAAGCCGCAACAAAATCAGAGCCGCAAGTACAAAGATAAATAAGTGGCATTGTCGGTTTCATTTCCGGTTGTTGCATTTGCATTCAAATGGCTGTGTGTGTGTGTATGCTTGTAAGCGGTATATAAGCACATTTCCCACTGCTTTTTAGATTTAAGCGTCGCGCAGCTAAAAGCACAAAAATAAAGCAATAAAAAGCAGCACGCCACAAGAAATGTAACAGGAGAAGTAGCTGCCGCAACGAGGGTCGATCCTGAAGGGGCGGCACAGTTACGAGCAGCTGTCGTTTCCGTCCAACCCAGCCCCGCACACAGCCACTCGCCCAACATTTGTATTGCCTGCGCTGCTGCTGCTGCTGCTGTGACTTAGCCTCGACTGTCTTTCAGTTTCTCACTTCATCAGTTACGCCAAAAAGGAGACTCTGCAATAAATTTCGCTGATTGCTTCCGCCCTCGACTAGGAGTCTAACCTCGACTCCGATTCGGCCGACTGCCTCATTTTTTATGCCGCTTGATAAAGTAATATCCGTTTTAGGTATACTGGCAAGACCTGCTGCCTATTTGATACCCTGTAGCGCGTGCATTCATTAGCAAGTGCAACGCCTGACAGCGCGTTTTTATCGAATTAAGTTTCAGTTTTGATGGCCGCTGTTCGTGTGGCCCATGAATGCAAAGTGAGCGCATAAATTATAGGGTATTAAATTCATTTTGGGTGCTGCAGATAATGTGCCAAACTTTATGCTATAATTTGGTCACAGCTCTTTGTTGTTGGTCTAACGCAGATTTGTGGCCTTGCGACTGCCACATGGGGCGGCGCGGCGCATGGGGCGTATGCGTCATATCACAGCACGCATACGCAGTGTTGGTCAATGTTGATGGAGATCTACCCCAATCCCAAACAAAAAAAGAAAGCAGTACTCTCTTTCTACGACACTTACACTGAGTAAAACTGAGTGCGGGCGTGTGGATGTGTGTGCGTGTGTGTGTAATTGAAACTTCCGCTTTGGTCAGTTAGCGCAATTTAGCAAGCTGCAAAAAAGTTAGACACGGCTGAAGTAACAGGCAAAGTGCAAAGTCCATTGCAGCTACTTGGCTTTCATTTCAATTTAAACTTTAAAAAGCCAACACACAAGTGTGAGTGCTGTGTGTGTTTGAGTGCGTGTGTGTGGCTGTGTGAAGCCACATGTAGAACTGAAAATTATTTAAAATGATTTATTTCACAACAATTTTCATTAGGCGACCAACTGCATTGCAGGTTTGTCCCCTCCGCCAGCCCCTGCTGTGTGCGGCAGCCTCCTCACGCCGTGCACTAATTCACTTTTGCTGATTTTTGTACAAAATATGCGAATGCTGCCTTGAGTTGAAGCCTTGGTAAACGAATTAAAGGGTGGCGCGGTGCCTGGTTCGAGGTATGTGGCACTGGCGGGCTTTCATACATGTTTCATATGAAATAATTATATATGCGGTCAGCTAGACATCCGCCTGCCTGCAGGCAGTGCAGCATCAGCCTGACCTGTCGTGCCCGTCCCTCTGCCGCCAAACATATCAGCAGTGTCCCCTTCATCCCTGTGCAATTTGCTTTTCGCTTAGCCAATGGCACACACACTAACACACTCACACACAAAAATTAAATAAAAATGTTGCAACAAGAAACAAAAAAAAGAAATGGGTAGAAAATGTGCTGTTGCTACATGTTCCGTGTTCCGTGGCGACTGCTGCATAACTTTTGCGGAAATTTGACTCTAGGGCGCAGCAGCCACGCCTCCATAACCCAGGCCCAAGCCCAAGCTAGTCCTGGCCGCTGTCAGCGTCTGTGCGCAAAAATTAGTAGAAAAGAAGAAGCATGGAGAAAAAATGTTTGGTAAAAGCAACTTGAAAAAGGTTAACAAGCGGCAGCGCAGCACAGGGAAAAGCCCAACAACAAAAAGAAGTTATAATTTTTGGCAGGCAACTGCAACAACAAGAACTACTACTGCAACAACAACAACAGCAACTACAAAGGGGAACGTTAATGAAAAGCAAGCGTGAAATAAAATCATAAATTTTGCAGCGCTTGCACGACAACCAGTGGAAAATGGCAGTTTTCAAGTGTGTGTGTGAGGGTGTGTGTGTGTGTGTATGTTATTTTTGTTTTCCATTTGTATGCGTGCGAGTAAAAA